TGTATAAAATTATATACAAACTCTTGGTATAGTAAAAGGCCTCTCTATTTCAGTAGTATCATCTTGAGTATTTCCGCGTACATCACGATTGTCATATGTATCATCATACTCGTCATCATAAACATCTGTGACAAGATCGTAACTGTAAGAAATTTCGTTTTTTAATTATTAATTATATTTATTAATTATATTAAATTCTTTAAAGTAATATAATTTTATAAATGTTATCAAATGTAATTATGTTTTTCAAATGTATTATATTTATAAATAAATATTTTTTTATGAATTATATAAAATTCATAATAATTATCCTTGAATTCTTACTTTTTGATTATATAATCTTTAGATATATTTATAATTTCTTGAGTTTTAATATCATTATTATCAAATTTAATATCATTATTATCAAATTTAATATCATTATTATCATTATTATAATTATCAAATATGTTCAATGTTTCAAAATTACAATCTAAATTTGGATTATTTAAAGTTTCCTAAAAAAATAATAAGATTATGTACATTACTTAATATACTAATTTTTTATTTTTATAATCTAATAATAAAATATTCTTACTGTGTAAATTGGTGAAGCAGACATTTGTGAATGTCTTAAGTCTTTTAACTCTTTTAATTCTGTGGGTAAAGATTCTTCTAAAATAGCATTTATTAATTCTTCTGTATTATAATTATAATACTTCAAACTTATCTATAAAATCAATCTTATTAGATATATTGTCATAATAATTTTTTTATAATAATTTTATATAATTACCTCAATGAAATATTCATCTAAATCATGTAATATATCTTTGACCTCACTAACAAGAGAAGCTAATTCAACAAAATCTTTTATTATAGGTTCTTGTTTCTTACTTGAAGAATTTATATTTTCAGATATGGTCATCTGACTTGAAATACCACTAGGTCCAGCTACAGCTTCCTATAAAAAAAAAAATAATATTTTGTAAAAATATTAACAAAATATATTTTATAAAATTATTATTATATTATTACTATTAATTACTATATTATATACTTACATTAGAAAATATATTTAATAAATCATTGGATTTACCAGTAATTGCATTGACTGATTGTATTATATAATTATAATTTATTTGATCACTGAATATTTATTAAAGAAAAATATTTGTTATAGAAAAATTTTGTAATATATTATTTCTATAATCATATTTACACTAAAAAAAAAAGGATACGGATCGGAACAAAGAATCGATAATACATTCAAGTCTGATTTAATAGGATAAAATTGGTCATAATCTGTAACAAATTCTTTTTCAGAAATTACAGAACTTAATAAATCAAGATATTCATCCACATGTTTCTTAATTTCTTCTTCCTTTATGATATTTCTAAATATAATATTATAATTATATTACATTAAATATAATATGAGAGAGGGTAGAGAGGGAGAGATTTTCTAACTTATATAATTATGCACTTACATATTACTTACATATTTTCTTGGATATTTAATATTGGTTCATGTATAATAATATGAAAAATATTTAAAATTTCAATTCTTATTACATCTAAACGATGTTTTAATTCCATGTATTTTGGCATATTTTCATCATTATATGCCAAGTCATCTAATAATTTATACATTTCAGGAATTGTATTTTCATATATTGAAACAAGTCTAATAAAAGTTAAAAAAATAATAATAGAATAAATTATTAAAGATAATTAAAAAAAAGATGAAGTAATAATAGTAATAATAATAATAATAAGAATACCTTATGTTTAATTACTTACTTTTTCATAAAATCCTCTCTATGAAATACATTTGCTCCAGAAGGATAATTTTTCAAAAATATTTCGATAGTTGAAGATATATCTAAAATATATAATATCATATCTTCCAAATTAAATAATGTAAGTTTCATAGAATTTGTAGATATTGCTGCATTAGTATGAGTAGAATAACCAAACTTTCTTTCAACATCTTCAAGTGCCTGAATCAATAATCTAAATTTATTATTTTAAGTACTATTTTAAGATTATATTTAAAGATCAATTATTTTATAAATTATATTTATCATATCACCTCTATAAGGCAAGGAATAGTTTTTTGAAGATCATTATTATACCGTGGTTCTAATATAAATAAACAATTTAAAATTTTTTCCATTATTTTTGGATTTTCTCGACCATAAAATTGGCAAAGATCAAAAATAATTGGAATTGTAAATATATAATTCTGATATAATAAATTTCCAAAAAAAGGACGGTTCATATATTCTTTTGAATTTTCCTTATTTGTAATCAGTCGTGTAAAAGTTATAAGTACGTAACGACTTAATACTTCTAAAAGTTGCAGCATATCTGGAGGGAAATTTTCTAAAGCATAAAATGGTGGTGCTTCTTGAAGAAAAGATACTAATGTATTTAATATTGAGCGATTGAATATAATATTTGACCAAAACCTATATAAAGAATATATAATAAAAATATAATACTAATAAATATATATATATATATATATTTCAATTTTCAATATAAATCAATATTTTTTTTAATTATATTTACCTATAGAATGGAAGACTAAGTAGCCATTTTAAATCATTAATCATATAATTAACAATTTCTATCCAACGTTCTTTTGCTCCTTCAATTTCAATTCCATCATCATTATATATATTAGGAGCTTCATAATGCAAGAAATAGTGGTTATTTTTCCATTTTTTACTCTAAAAAATTTTTAATATTTTAATATATAACAAAATTTAAATAAAAATAAATTAAAACAAATTAAAAATAATAAAATTTGTTAATTAAAAATAGGTTTAATATCATTTATAATAAAAATATAATATATGCAATACATATATATTTACAAACATTATTATTTACATACATACCAAAGCATCTATGGTTTCTACAACACCATTAGTTTTAACCTTTAATTTTAAATTTTCCAGTGGCAAAAATTCAGGATTCTATTAAATAAATAAAAATGTTATATTTTGTTAAGTAAATGAGAATATATTTATAGTAAATCATTGTTCTAACCTAACCTAATAAACAATACTTTTATAATTGAACATTATAAATAATAATGAATAAATTACCTCGTAAGAATCCATATTTTCGTACGATATATTTCCTGTCATAAATACTATTAATATTATAAATACTATTGTTATTAAACAGTTGCAATTGCAATAAATTATTTTTTTAACAAGTTGCAATCGTAACAATGTACGGTTAGTACGATTGTCTTTTCGTGAACTAACCTGTCTTTAATAGACCTTTCAGTTGAATATCGCAAAAAAATTAATATTGGAAAATCTCAAAAAATGAACGTTATGGTTTTGTTATGAATTAATATTACTAAAAAATCTACTTTATCTAATTATTTAATACTATTTAAAACTTCTTTGTCTTGAGGTTATGTTTTGACTATTTGTTTATTCTAGTGCTCTTTTATGTTACTTTTGACGAATTTAATAATTTAAAATTTTATATTATAAACTATATATTAAAATGTCTACTGATGAAAAAAATATTAAAAAATTGAATAAACCAAAAGTTATAAGTATTGTAAAAGTGAATAAACCTATTAAATTAATGAAATTAAATGAAAAATCTGGTAATAATGAAAATAAAAATACGAACGTTGTTGATAATTACGTTCCTTTAAACGATGCTAGTAACATTCAAAATATTAAAGAAAATTTTAAGGAAGTTGATATGCCCAAAAATTCTATTAAATCTTTAAGTGATAATATAATAATTTCAGCTACTTCTATTGAACAAAATGAAAATAAAAGCAAAACACTTAAATCAGAAAAATATGAGAAAACTAAAGAAGCTAATGTTTCAAAGAAAAATTGCATGAAAAGTACAAAAGAAAAAGAAAATAAAATAACAATTGATAAAAAGAAAGTTAAGAGTGTAACTATAAAATCTCCAAATTTAGATATTTTGAAGCATAAAAGTAGACTTTATTCTTCTGATACTAATACAAAGAAGCTAAATGCTACAAATAAAAAATCTATTTCAGTTACAACTAAAAAAAATTCAAAACCTATTGTCGGTGTTATGCCATGTTATAAATATAAAAAAGTTGAATCTAAGACTCCTGTTAAAAAAACTGTGATAAGAGATATAATTGGTTCCAAAATAAAGCCTTGTATTAATCCAGGAATAGAAAAGACACCAGATAATTTAAAATTTTTAGAAATTGATGAAAACATTCATGTAAAATCAGTTATTTCTGGAAAAGAATTAGCAAAACCAGAATATAATTCAATTATGTATACAATCAGTAAATTAAATGAATTAAAAAAACAAAAAGTTATAACTGATATTGAACATTTACCAGCTTCATATAAAAATCTTATAAGTGGGAAGGTAGTGAAAAAAATAATGGCTTACAATTATAATAAGAGTTATTCTCTTATATTTTCTATTTCAGATTTCTACTGCTTTAGATTTTCCACTTGATGAAGTAATTTATAAAAATTTGGTGGATTTATCCATAGATGAAAATCAATTGCCAAGTAGATTAACTCGTAGTAAAGATCCAGAACCAAGGCAAAAAGATATTGTGCCAATACTTTCTGATTTTTTTACACCTGTACCTATTGATGAATATTGTACTCCTGTTTCTGTAAAGCCACGATCTTCAGAAACTATTGATTATTGGAATGCTTTTAGAATTAGTGATCAAATATATGAATGGAAACATACTTTGAATCATATATGATTAGATGTTTTTGTTTTATGAATAACTTATTTATTAATTACTATTTGGGAAACACTCATTTTAATAGATATATTTTTTTGTAAAATGTAAAGTATTTTTCATATTTCATATTAATGAATAAAATAGTAATAGATATTTTGTAGAATATATATGTTAAAATTTAAACGTGATATACACAAATGAATATATACAATAAATTATTTAATATACCTACATATGTCTTAATTTTTTTATATGATTATAACATTTCATTTTACAATTTTCATGAAGCACCAAAAATATCATTATTATACGATGTATAATAATATTATACATGATGTATAAAATGGAAAAATAATAAAAAATTCATGGTACATTTAGATTGTGTCCTCTAACAAGAATTATACTGTCCTCTAATTATATTGATAAAAACTAATATGAATTTACACTTTCATACGTGATAGTAACATTTACAATATCTTTTTTCATGATTTTCTTATTTAATGATTCATAAATTTAATGATTGAACAGATGAATATAATAAATGCAATTTATCTACCAAAAGGATTTAAGTTCTTGTTATAATCATCGTCGTCATCATTAAATGGATTTGTATCGTCGTTATCTTTAAAAGGATTAGTGTCATCATCTTTATCTTCGGAAAATGGATTTTTTGATTCATCATAATCATCTGTTCCAAATGGATTAGATGGTACAATTGGTGTTTTCGGTGGTATGTAAGATTTCTGAATTGGCGATGATTTTGGCGTTGTACTATTTAGAATGCGAGCTTCTCGTATAGGTATTGGAGAAGCTTTTCTTGAATTTCCTCGTGGAGTAGATATGTCACTGGCTGTACCAGAGATATTTGCTTCTAAGGACGAAGAATAAAGATCTGATTTTGGAAATGATCGCAATCGATCATCCGTTATTGTAGAAAAATTATCATAAGGACGACGAATTTCAGTTTTTCCTAAAATAATATTTAATTTATACTAAAAATACTATTATATTTTTAAATATAAAATATAAAATATAAAATATAAATATAAAATAATAAAATTTTTTAGTTTAGTAAAATGTTATTTACCTAACGTTGTAGTTTTACCTTCTGTTAATCTGATTCTAGCTTCTGCACCTGGTCCATAATTCAATTTTGATTCCTCAAATGTAGATAATGATTTATCATTATCAGTGATCACCATTAATTTTTTAAAGACTCCGCGACCAAAATAGTCAGCAACTAATGAAAATGGATCTTCTGCTCGATCTAATAGACTATGAAATGTTTCGTGAAGATCTTTCGATTGTTCTTGCGCTTTTATAATATCCAACAATTTTTTATTATTTGGTAAACAAGCTGGACATTCATTTTCATTTTCCGAAAAGCTTTGAAAACAACTAATATAATGAAAATAAAACAAAGATATATTAAAATGCTTAAATATTATTATATTTGATACTCTATACTTACTGTTGATGATATGAATGCTGACACATAAAATGTACCGAGGGAAGTTCTAATTGATGATGACAAGCACTACAACGCGATCCTTGAAAGATTATAGTACTACTTTTAATTGATTCTATTTGTTCTCGAATTTTTTGAGTATCTGCTCGGTATTTTTCAGTCAATTCCATATCTGCTTGAGTTTGTTTATGTTCTGTTAATAATACGCTATTTAAATAAGTTCTTATATCTCCCAAGGTACAGGAAAGTGAAGTAGAAATTGCATCAATAACCATCAATGGTGATAATAATCTTTCCTGAGCTGTATATAATTTTTTTTTTTAAATATTATAATATATTATACACGATTAAAACAATTAAGTTGAATTTTACATATACCTATGTATGCTAATATATCTGCAAGAAGTTTAGCTGGTGCTTCTTTACTTCTTGCAACACTCCATAAAGCTTGAACCCATAAATTTGGATCTTGATGTCCAAATCGTTTGCACGTAGCTAAGATTTGCTCATTATCTCCTTCACGTAAATGAAATCGTAATATTTCCTGATATCTATGTATAATATAATATAATATAAAATTTCGAATTGTAACCGATTATATGAATTACTTCAACTTACAATTTATTTTCTTCGTAAAGAAAAAGTAAACCGCGTTTGAAATTATGTTGATAGCATAAGATTAATATTTGATCTTTATCATAACAAGCTTCCGAATTTTGTAAAAGTCGAACAATTTTTTGTTCATATTGTACTTTTGTTACATCATCATTCAAAGCCGACCATACATGAAGATAATGCTCTACTAATGTATTATATACCAAAGTACTCCATCTATGTATTAAAAAAATATTTAATTTAGAATACAAATTGACTTTTTCTTTTTGTATATTTATATTCTGAGATAAGATTATATCTTATATATATTATATATATATATATTCTGAATTAATATACTAACTTGCTATGAGTTTTTACTAAATGTTCTAAAAATTCTACAAGACGTTCTGAATTATTTAAAAACAAATGAATAAAATCTTCTGGATTAGCTTTATCAACATCTTGACATATGTTACCATACAATGTTTCCTGAATCAAATAAATTATTAGAAGTAGTGTCTTTATTATATTTATATTACTAGTCTTATCTACATTATTAATTTATTTTCTTGATCATTTAATTTTACCTGATCTACAAGTGGTTTATTGGAAGGCCTATAATTAGTACATAAAGCTTTTAAAAATTGAGTTGATTCATCTGGTACATTTTCTATAAGAATATTACCATATTTTTTCATGTTAGATTCTGCCTAAAAAATTGGTTAAAATTAATAAAACGAATTAAATTTTTTATATCATAAATATACCTCTTCAAATTCTAAAGTTGCTATATATTCTAATGCCTTCTTATATTCCTGTTTATCTTCTATTTGAATACGAAGATAACATTCATGACGACCATGTTTTTGTGCAAGTAATAAGGCATCTTCCGGTGATGCTTGACGACAAACTTTTATTGCAATTTCAACATCAAAATCAACCTCTCTATCTTTTGTCTAGAATTATAGAATAATACAATATAAGATAAGATAATCGTTTTAAAATTAATATTATATTCAAATTAATAATTATTTACCATAATAAATTCTTTTAATTTATCTGTATGATTAAGTTTCGTGTAACAATTTAATAGTAAAGTTGTATGATCTTCTGTTGCTTGTCCATTTTTATGTAAAGCTTGTAAGTAAGTTGTTAGATTATCTATATGTTGAGAATCTAAAAACTTTCTAATTACATACGATGGTTCTAATTTTCCAATAGTTTTAATATATTGTTCTATTGCTCCATTATGATCTCCTTTTGAGTATAAATGATCGCCATATTGTCGAAATATGTCAACAAGTCCTTCAGCATCATATTGTTGATTTTTAGCTATTCTAAAAATGATGTAATATTAAATTATTATTGAAATGTTTTTTATAATTTTTTATAATTTTAATTAAAAAACGTTTTCTATAAATTTAATTAAATATTTCATTGCCTACCTTATAGATACATCATATAAATTTTTTTTGAAAAGTAGTGCTAATTTCGATTGCAAATCTTTTTCATCCAAGTTATAAAGTTTATTGTCACCACTGAGTATAAAAAATCCACCCCATTCTGATAGAACAGCTTGTACGGACAACATTGATGCAGAAAATACAATAAATTTATTTTGTATATCGAGAACTGTGATCATATGTTTATCTACACCTGGAGGTATTGGTTCTATAGTACTACAAATAGATACAATAGTTTGAGAATTAATTCTTATTTAATATAAAAATATATTATAAACATGTAAAAAATTCTTGCCTTGGTTTCGCAGAAATAGTAGTTGTTGTTCTTGGAACATTAGCAGCTTCTTTTGCTATAATAACAAGATAACTTCTGAACCATTCTAACATAATTTTTTGACCCTCTACTGCATAACAAGGACCTCTACCATCTGGTGTGTAACAATAAATTGCCTAATATAAAATGAAATTATTAATAAGAGGATATTTTTTATATGTTTTATAATGGAATTTTTTTAATTATTACATCATTACGACCAATCATGAAATGACTATCTTGCATGGATTCTGCAAGAACACTACATTTTCTAGCGCAACCCATAGTGTCTAAGGGGGATTTAAATTCTTTATCCTTAACAGTAATATTATATAAAAAAACACTATTTGTTGTGGCAACAAATAAATGATTTTGTTTGCCACTAGATCTTATTGCTAAACCAGTAATGGAAACATTGGTAACTTTTAAAACTTTTATCTTGTTCCTTCTTTCTCTAGTTAAATCACCCCTAAGAATCAAAAACTATATATTAAAAATTGTTAGAAAATTAAAAGAAAATTGATATTTATGTAAATTTACCTATAAAGCATAATAGAACCATCTCCAAAACCAACAGCCATTAATGTAAGACTAGTATGCACACACAGAGCAGTTGCAGGAACTCCTCTGTAACTTGGTATAGCTCTACTTATACGGACACATGTTGGATTGCCTTGTTTATCTGGTTTAGCTAAATTCCATACCTTTATAGTAGGGTTACAACCTGGTTCATCTTCCTAAATAAATAAACTTTTCAATAACAAATATCTTTATAATAAATCTGTAATAGTAATGAAATAATACTAACACCAATGGTGAATAGAAAAGTGGAATGTTGAACTTGTTGAGCTAATGTTAATGTAAGATCATAAGCGCGAAATGTGATAACGTCATAAGTTCTATTTACTAAATGCACATTGCCTGTATTATCTCCGAACACTAAAGTTCCATTACCGCTCGTAGCTGCTGTTACTTGAGCATCCTGATTAACAAAATATACAATATACATCGCATAGCATAATATCTTAACCTATATTCGAAAATAATGTCAGAAAAAATTGCATTTGAATTGAAAGTAACTTACACCAAGTGCCGTGGCTACTTTTCCACCGTCAACTTCTTTTTTAAGATCGAAGAAATTGAAGCGTCTCCACTGAAAAATAATTAATTTTTTGTCTTGAACTACAGAGAGTGAGGTTAAGTATAAATCACAAAAAAAATATTATACAAAATATCTCAATAGATTATTAAATGAACCTCGAGAAATGCCATGTTGTACTACAATTATCTATTTACACATCTGAAGCAAAATTTTATTGATATAGTAAACGAAAAGCTATGGATAAAAGCTATTTCTTTTGACAGTTATCTGACACCGAGAGGAGTCAGCTGCATGCCAGCCATCTTTTCATCTGATTTAATCAGCTGATTATGACATATTTTATACGCACGCGCAATATAAACTCCATGTACCTTCTACTATATCGATTGATAGTCGTACAGTGATTGATCGTAATTTCTCAGAGATGTCGCTCTAATATAATTCAAAATCATACGCCATCTATACAAATTTTTCAAGTACTAAATTCATTTTATAGCGTAATTTAAAATTTTTTCTTTATTAATTATTTTCATTATTACTTGTTATTATTATTTATTACTATATTTATTAATTCTATAATTTAGAATAGAATAAAGATTTATCATTTATCATTATCAACAAAATAAAAAGAAAATAAAGATTTCTGAAGAAATTACCTTTCTTTATTATCTTAACATTAAAATTATCGTTCTTTCTTGTAAAATTGAGATAAAAATACATATATTTAAAAACATTTTGAAGCAAAAGTCATTTGGTGAGGAATTATGAAACACTTTGCAAATACAGAATGCCGCAGCAGGTTTTTCGACCTTTTCAAGTATTTTAACTTTCTAATTTTACTTGCTTTCAAAAATTCGAATGAACTACTGGGGCTTTCCGCATCGCTAATCTCGATTAGTAAGACGTAAGTTTTGTTATATTTGTTAAAAAGGACGAACAATTAGTGTCGATGATGGGGAGTGGGATCGGGGATTAGTTTTACAAGGTTTGCCTGCGTGAGACAGGGGGAATCAAGAAAAAATGGTCACGAAAAGTTTTGAAAATCGATTATGAATACAACACCATTTCCATTTTTTGTGATATTTTACTTCAACCAATCGAAGGACCAAGAAAGACGCATCTGCCGTTCCACATTCCTTTTTAGTCCCTTTAAATTTCATTAATTTTATCGCAGATTTTATCGTCATTCTTTGTCCTCGAATAGGATTCACTGCAGCAACCAATGAGACTTCATTCGTACGAAATTCATACAAAAAAATCGTTTCTCAGAAGTTTCGTTCATTCAATTTTTACAAAGATTATTATGGAAACCTTTTGGATCATCGAAAAGAATCCGTTTCCTTGTACGAATTTCCACGAGGACACGAGCATCTCCGTCTCTTCGTTATTTCTTCACTTTCATTCTTCTATTTGTTTTTTTTTTTCTTTTTTCTTTTTAATTCTTTTGTACCGTTGTCGTGCTCGCGCTAGAAAGAAAATGAAAAACGCACGGTTCCTCCTTCATTCAGTCTGCGATCGTTTCTTATTCAGGACGAGCAACGTTCCATTATCTTTCTCTCTATATAATAATCAAAACGCGCGTGGAACGATGATCGTCGCTTCGTTGTATCACGTTCATGCGTACACGGTTTATTAATTAATAAAACGAGTTTCGCTGTTCATCTCGTTTACGATCTATTTATCTTGGAAAAACTCGATGGTTTCTGATTTTTCGCATCGTTTCACGGGTCAGAAAATTATCGCGGATTTCACGGTCTCTGCGGAACGATAAGTTCTTGCGTATGATGTCATTAGGAGATGAAATTATTAATGTAGTAGACTGCGATACCGTGAATTCGAAAGACGTGGATTTTTTTTTTTTTTTTTATTTCATTCTCAAGATTTTAAATTTGTCGTGAAACGTTTCGTGAATACGTTCCGTAAACGGTTTTGTTCAGTTTATAATGGAAAGATAGTTTTTTTTTTCTTTTAAATTTATTCCTTGATTGAGAATAATGCGTGTCAAAGCTACTTTGAAGGATTATGTAAGGATTTAGATTTAAGGACAGCGGGTTTATCGTCATATAAATTTTCTGTCGTGGTTTCTCATTTTATTACGTTCTTTTCTTGGGATTATGGACCACCACTAGTTTTTAACCAACATATTTTATTAAGGAAAAATTGTTACATTCAACGTGGCGGATTTTAAGATCCATTTAGACGAATGGAATAAAATTTACGTGAATTTTTATCTTTTTTTTTTTATTAAAATATTCATGACATGAATTTACCATTCATTTCCTGAAATCATCAATAGAATTCGTCAATATTTCTCAAATCTTTTCGACATATCCAATTCCACCATTTTTGTCTCTTAGAATTCACTGGTCGCAGTTTACGTTGTTACTTCCCTTCCTTTTCTACGTAATTTATAGTAATATCTAACTATAATGATTCCAATCTCTTTTCTCCCTTCGGATATTTCGTTTCTCTCAAAGAATATTGCTGTAGAATATTGCAAATTTTATTTTTTAAATTTAGAAAATTTATCGTTACTTTACCACTGTGAATTCTTTTCTTCATTTTCTCTTATTTTATCACCGAAGATTTATCGTACTCGCTTTCATCCTTAATTCGTTTCAATAGTATCTTCATAAAGCATCATATTTAAGTAAAAGACATTACATCCGTGCAATCTTTCGAAGTATCATTGAAAAATATTTAACATCGGCAATATGAACGTCTCAATATCCAATATTAAACCGAATATAAAAAGGAACCAAGCTTTTGCGAATATCTTACAGCAATATTAAAACCGAACCAGTCAATTTCTCTTTACCTTCGAAATTCATTCGTTTCTTTTCTTTTCTCCCCTCCCCCCCCTCTCTCTCTCTCTATTTCTCGATCACCTCTCTGTCTCTCATCTATTTCTCGATCGGCAAGGGATTAGGAAACATGGTATATTCTTCGACGTTCTTTCTTCATTTTATTCTTGGGACACGGGCGAGGGACGATCAGTAACGCGAAAAAACGTGATCTTCCGTCGAAACTTTACAGAGATGTAATTTCTTCATCGTGTTTTTTTTTACTTACTCTCTATATAAACTCTCTATTAAACAATGTGTATTTGTGTAGGTATTTTTGTGTACGACCGTGTTAACTTCTTCTTTTCCCTTTCTTTTTTTTTTTTTTATTTTTTTTATTATTATTATTTCTTTTTTTTTTTGTTTGTTTGTTTTTACCGCGTGTGTGTGTGTTCTTTTTTTCTTAAAATCGTTCTCGAATACGTCGAAATCGGATCTTGATCGTGTCGCTCTTCCGCTTCTCTCACTTCTTTCCTCTCCCTCTCACTCTCTCACGCTCTCCCTTCTCTCTCTTCTCTCTCTTATCAAACATTTAATTCATATATAATATATCTATATTATATATCTATATATATACTTTACAAACAGGAAACGATTAGACGCTAGGGCTTTCACGACGTGCCCCGAAAATCGCTGGGTATTCCTTTTAAAGCTGAGGAATGGACCGGACAGGAGGGCAACTCTTTATTATTAAGAAGCTTCCAACGTTTAATTATTAAAAAAAGCTCTTTTTTTTACGTGTGTGTGTGTTCTTTTTTTTTTTTTTTTTTTTTTTTTACACCCTCGTGAAACTTCCGCGTTCGAAGGAAGAAACGCGGAAGCGACTCAAATCTTCGAAAAGGGATACCCGGCTTGGCGCGCTAGGCACGCGATTGCGTACGATCGCGTTTCTCTTTCTCTCTCTCTTTCACTCTCTCTCTCTCTCTCTCTTTCTCTCTTTCTCTCTCTCTCTCTTCATTTTTTTTTCATTTTTTTTCTGTTTCTTTTTTTTCTTTCTTTTCTTCTTATTTATTTATTTATTTATTTTTTTTTCAAATGGCTTAAGGATGCACTTCTTTGTAAAATACAGTAATATCCCGCGCGCGTTTCTACTACCGTATAATATAAGTATATCCGTTTAGAGATTTGTGTTTCTTCATATTTTCTTCATTTTCTTCTTTTTTGTTTTTTCTCTCTTTCTTTCTTTCTCTCTCTCTCTCTCTCTCTCTCTCCTTTTTGTTCTCCGTAAATTTATACAATAAAATATCACAGTTCTGTTCGTACCACGCAATATAATCAATATATCGTTTTTTTCTTACATTGCCTATATACGTGAGAGTCTCTCGATCTTTCTTCTCATTCTTTCTTCCCACTCTCTCTCTTTCTCTCTCTCTCTCTCTCTTTCTCTCTCTCTTCTTGTTCCTTTCCTTTCTCGTTCTCTCTTACATTCTCATTCACACCTTCGTTTATTTTATTACTCATTCTCGCGCATGTACACGCACACACACACACGCACACACACACACACGTGTGCTGCCTTCGCACACTCGCAACCCTTTCCTTTTTCCTAAAGCGCGAAAATTGACGATTATTACAACGAGTAATAGAAACGTTTCAAGTCGACTTCTTTTTTTTTTGTTTTTTTTTTTCTTTTTTTTCATCAGTCGCTTTAACCCTGAAGAAATTTCGATGTAAAATATCAACGTGAGAAACGATCGTTTATTCCTCGTTTCTGGTAAATCGTTTACGTAACGAGTTTAATAAAACGAATCGATCGGACGAGCCGAATACAATACAAGAGAGTTTTCCATTTTTGTCGCTTCGCAACTCTTCATCACCCACCGCACCCCCCATTTCCCAACCCCCCCTTTCTCAACAATCGATCAAGAAACATCACGCAGAAGTTCTCAGTCTACTACAAGTCCCTAACAATTCAATAAAAGGTAAAAAACAAATAGGCAGTCTTTCCGATTCTCGTTTATCAGTCAAAAAATTATTATCACAATCGAGAGAAGATTAAATATATCCGTGTATATCACTCTAGCAATTTTTTCACGCACGAATCGCGTGCACGAATCGGCGAAAACGTCGAAAGATCGAATTGAATTTACGTTTCAGGGTTAAAGGGACCCATAAGTGGAATCATAAATATATTTCGATCAATACGAACCTCTATATAGCGTACGATAGAAAAGAAAATTATGAATGCTTGCAATTTTCTTTTTTCTTTTTTTTTTTTTTCTTTTACCATCGATCAATCAACGATAATTTGTTTATTTGGTCGAAAGACCGCAAGCGTTCCTCTTTATCCGTTCTTTTCGGTAAACCGATTCGCGTGTATATATATTTTGTTTTATCGATCAATTTATTTTTTTTTTTTGCAACATTGCCGGAAAATTAATGAATTTCTTTCTTTCTTTTTTTTTTTTTTAAAGGAACTAATTATTCGGGGATCGAAAGGATCGATGGTTCTATAAGCGAGAAACATATTATTCGTTGCGAATTCTCGATCGACTTCTTCTTCGAGAGAAAAAAGTATTTTACGATATTAAAAACACGTTCCTTTTTTTTGTTAACACAATACAATTTGTTAAAATTTTCAAATGGTACAACAACGATACAGAATCCAATATCATCGTTATCTGAATTCGAAGGAGAAACTCTTATTAAACTTGTTAACAAGTTAAACTTGTCGAGAATCTAATAACAATTGTCAATTAAAATCTCGCAAAATATTTCGAGAAATATGAATTTTGTTAATTGCGTTTTTGAAAATAATTCTTTCTATTGGAGGAGTGTGGAAGAACGATCGAGAATTAGCGTTCGTAATCATCTATAAATTTCATTGTTAACCATGGAATGTTCCACGTGATTCGCGATAGAAAAATCCGCGCGGTGCAACACACGATGACGCAAAAAACGGAATTCCTTTCGCCATTGACTCGAAGCCAACGAGGTGAGGAAGTTGCGCTCGTAAACGATCGATCCTCCGCATCCCTTGGTAGTCTTCGTTAGTTTCCGAAAGCATAATGGACGGCATCTTACTGCGAATTTTGTGGGATAAAAAAAAAAAAAAAGAAAAGGAAAGAAAAGAAAAAGAAAAAAATAATACAAAAGAAAGTAAGTACGTGGTAAGTACACGATGGAAATAATAATAATAATAATAATAATAATAATAATAATAATAATACAAACTGGAAAAATCTATCTATATGGAAGACGAAGGAGAAAAAGATTTTGTACGAAGATTCTTTTTCAACAAAAAAAAAAAAAAAAAAACCACCTCCCCTACTACTTTAATCTCTAAAATCAAATTACAATCGCTGTCGCTTTAATATTCGAGAAAACGTGTATGTGTGTGTGTGTGTTGAAACGAAATAAACGGAATAAACTTTCCTCTGTAAAGAAATATATAATAAAAAAAAAAAAAAAAAAAAAAAAAACGTAAAGTTACAAGGATACAGGAATTCCTTCACGATTTGCATCGTTCGACGTGAAGAAGAGAAAGGAGAGAGAGGGTTCTCGAATTGAAGGGGGGTGGCGTTCACTCATGGTGGATGGAACTGAGATGATAACGGTGACGGAAGAGAGAAAAACGCGTCTCTCATCCTTCAACGCGTTTCTCATCCTTCCACAAGTCAGAGTGCTGTGTTCTTTTAACGTGACAGTTTATTAAACGAAATCATAATTATAATAATAATAATAATATTAATAATAATAATAATAATAATAATAATAATAATAATAATAATA